ACATTGACTGCCTTTCGGATGGAATGTGTGGGCATAAATTTCTTGCTTTATAGAGGGTGGGGCAGTTAAGACAGCCCACCTGAATATTTCGGCTTGTACTGGTGATTGAGGAAAATGTTTGCATGGTATCGAGAAATATAATTTGATGTGAATAGGTTTTTTTATATACCATATCGTAGAGCGTTTTAGGACACGTACAATGATCTGTTTATAAAGGTTTAAAAGATGTCTTTCCATTTGGTAAAACGAAGTTTACCTTCATACGACCTCTATGTATCCATCTATCAGAGAACAATTCACAATAAATTATTTGCTCCATGCAAATTCGGTCTGACAGAGTTTTTTCTGTCACCAGTAACAGCCAAGATATTCAGATGGCTTATTTTAAGTGTCTCACCCTGTATAAGTCCTACGAGCCACGGAATTCTTTTCAGGATCTTATCTCGTCGGGACCATTCGGATATTTCCCTCTCAGTGTTTTAGTTTCGGTGGTATGGTTCTTGGATTGCTGTTAAAAATGTTTGAAAGGCAAACATGCTGAGTGAATTGAACAGATATTAATGGAATCGATGGGTGATCGAAGGGACACTTTTCGAAATCCTCGCGAAAGTGAAGATTCGTTTTTTTTTCACGAATTCGCCACGACGACAGCCACGGAAGCTGCCGACTTTCTTCGTGTAACCTACTTCCGGCTGCTGAACTTCGTTCACGTGTCTACACGCGGCGAAACAGTCGAGGATAATAGAGACACAAGATCGGCCAGACACTGGTTTCCTCGAACGACATTGTTATCGGCCTGAGGGAATATTAACCTGGTTTCTGTGGCTTCTAACTGGTTCGAGAATTCAACGCCGTACCGCCGCCGGGGAATAATTTCACTCCCGAGTGAATTGGAATTCATGGCACCGCGGGGGCGTGCCTTTGATCGAGAAGAAACGACTTGGAAGAGTCAATTTAAAAGATCCTTAAAATTCTAAGGAAAGGGAAGAAGAGATGGAAGTATCCATTTAAAAAAATAATAAATCTGTTAAAGGCTCTTGACTCCATAAAAAGAATTAACTATTCTTCGAAATCAATATATTATTGTATAATTTAATTTAGTGTACATTCAATGCTAGTATTTCTAGTGTTAACGGAACATCAAACGGGTCAATCTAGTAATTTGTAGACTTTCGGGTATCAGAGAATCTTCAGAAATAGGATTTCGATTCTCAGCATCGTACGATATTTCTCTAGAGCGAACAGTTTCCGAACACAACGCGTGTTAAGCTCGATAATTCCCGTGTTATTACGCCACGCAGACGTTCCAACGGCGCGATTGTTACGCCGCCAGACGGAAATATCTGTTGGACTGTCAGTCACGAAGACGATCTCTTTCCTGACAGAGGAATATATACATCTTCCCTCCTGTTGGACACGAGAAGTTTCTAAAGAGGAGAAAGAAACGAACGAACGAAAGATCTCTCGGCCGAGCGGTTTAAAAGCGGAATAATACACAGAGTCACGCGAATCTCGACCGTGAAATCTTCTAGATAACCACTTTCCCGCGCTCCTTTATCCCGAATTGGATCGCCGATCGCGAAATTCCGAATACGCACGGTACGATCTTCGATCCGCGTATTTCCTAGCGCCGGCTAAACGCGTTTTTCCTTCTGAACGGTGTACTTTCACGAGCGACCAGTTAAGTGTAATACAGGGTGTTTCAGGTAACTTGATCACCTCAAATAATGACTTAACGATACATGTTCTATGGTACAAAAAATCGGTCATTCTGTTAAAAAACATCAAGGTGACCTTGAAATCTCTCAAATACCTCCACAAAAAAATGCACTTATTTTATAAGATGTGTGCCCCTTGATGCCATTTAAGTTCGACGTCTCAATATTTTCATAAAGTGTACCGTTAAGTCATTATTCGAGATGATCAACTTAGTTGAAACAGCCTGTATAAGTAGAGATGTTTTTTTTTCTCCTCTCATTTCAGTCGGGGAAAATTATCACGGAGCTATGGCGAGAGGGAGGCCGATATTAGATCGCGGTGAATTCCAAAATGGTCTCCGGTTCGCTGAGAAACCGGTGGCAATAATCGCTAGAGCCGCTTGCGTAACGAAACCGAAGTAAACACGATCACACCCGGAGGGAATAGGAGAGGAAAATCACGAACTATGCGAGATTATTTATGTCTGTAAAACTTGCGATAATTATCCAACGGGCACCGGAGTTTTTCGAATCGGCAGGTTACGTTGCAATCGTTCTGATAAGTTGTTCTCGGTGTTCGCCAATGAACGGTGCTGGATGCACGGGTGTGGTCTAATGGGTGAAAAATAATTAAAACGTTCTTGTAGATCCTTGATTCCTCTTATGTAAACGATAATCTTGATGGCAACAACAGAGTAGCGAACTAAAAGGGCACCACTTCTCTTATTCTTTATATTTCTATTACATCTTAACGTCAGCATAAAACCTTAATCTAGGAGGTTTTATACAGCTTTTAATTCTCTACCAGATTATTATATTAAACACGTAAGTTTCGAGTTGATATTAAAAAGAAATAAAAGTAAAACAAATCGAAGAAATGGTAACTTTTCTGTCTACTACTGTATATTTTCGTTACACTCTAGATTTTTTAATTAGACTCATGTAATATCCATTAATGCTAAACTCCAAAGTAACCGACAAGATTCCTTAATATTCTAAAGACCATAATCCCTAAGAAGACCAACATTATTCCTGCATTTCCTCGAGATTCTAAGCTCCAAGAGTTCATTCAACATACCAAAGTCACCAGGGACCCAAGAATCTCAATTAATTCTCCAAAAAAAGGCCCACCGACCAGCCCACAAAAATTCCTCAAGTCCTGCATAGATCAATCTCAGTTCCTTTTCCTGTCTTCCTACCATCAAGAGGAGAAACGCGACTGCTTAATATTCCCGTAGTCTAATTGCAATAAATATCCCGCAAGAATTCGCCAAGTACACTCGGTCCCAATAATAAATTAGACCGCGACGGCACGCGGAATAGAAAGTCCACGTAGAGAAACCACCAGATTGGAGGGGTGGGGAGGCCAGAATACGATGGAACGAGGAAGAAAAAATCGCGACAGGGTTCGGTGCCATCCTCTTGACGGCGTTCCTCACCGTTCGTCCTCTACGGTTGACATTTTCCGCGGCGAAACGAGCCTCTATAGCGCGCTTCTTCCTTCTCCTCTATCAACGGTAATCACCCCGCTGTAACCGTGCCGCGTTGATTAACAATAATTCCCGCCACACTCTTCCTCGTGCACAAGAGGATGTAATAATTCGACGAACGCGCTAATTGCCCGGGGCTTTCATCGAGATTAAGGTATCACAGCACTCTCACTGGGGAACCTCGCGACTAGAAATACAGGGGTGGGGGGGACGTGGCCAGAAATGTCTTCTTCGGGCAGGTAATTCTTCGAATACAAAGACTTGTATTTTTCATCAATGTTTTTGCTATACAATGGAATGAAACAAATCTTACTGGATTTTACTGTTGAATTGTTGTTCTATAGTACAAAATTGTTTCTGTTAAATAAGATATAAATGAATATTCTTTAAGGTGCCCTGAAGGTTGGATATTTTTAAAATGGTATGTAAAAGGGAAAATCAATTATTTATGTGCATAAAATGTTTTGATTAAGAATATTCTTTGAACCAGGGCATAGAGAACTTATTTTTAATTTGATACATTTGTGCATTTTATAGATAATCCTGATCTATGATTGCAAGGAAGTAATTGTTTATAATACATAAAATATGCATAAATGAGTATTTATATTAAACTTGCTTACTTTTTTGCACAATGAAGCTGTCGAACTACCAAAAACACTTTTCTTGAATTATGGAGAAACACTAAGATCTTTTTTCTGGGCACACAAATACGAATTCACACCAACACACACTTTCGATGTTGATCCATCGAAGACTAACGCGTAAATGACCCTTGGGCCCTTACTACCTGACACTATAGGGGATAGACATGATATTTAAGGGACCATACGGTCACTTACCTGCAAATACTCAATATTTGCAATTTTCATTGGTGCCACGGGTAGAGGTGTGTTTACCTGTTTTCCTATGTATCTTAAAAACAATCGTAGATATGAAAGAAGTTTTGCAATGCAAATTTCAATGACTTTTTATTTTCTACAATACTGTACAATGAAGTCATGAAAAATTTATTTAATTATTTATTCAAATTTTCCTTCTAACTGCTTATTGATATCTACTATAGTTTTTAAGATATGCAGGAAAATAGAAAAACACATATTAACTTTTCAGGGGTGGTTTCACCCTAAAGAGTCGAATATCAGGAAAAACGAACAATTGCCCGATGCTTCTATCGAGGTCCCCCAGAGTTTAATAAAAATCGGAATTTTCAGATTACCGAAGTTCCCTTGTTAGTTGAAATTTCGATAAAGTTTTACGAGACTTTTATTTCTTCCAAATGCTGATAAATTTTTATATTGATTCCAGTTTCTGTAAATTAATCTGGTGTATTTTATTGGAATTGTAACGAAATTCCTGTTTCGCTCGATGAACTCTTAGACTCGTAGTCGAGGAATGAGTTTTCAGTTATGTTTGTTTTGCGATTTCCAAACCAACGATCTTTTTTCGAAGAAACTGGCACCGATCCAGGTCGTCTCAATGAATAGCCCGTGCGGCTTTAGTGCTCGTAAACTTTACTCCATTTCTGTCGATTTTCTGCGAGCAAATTATCGTGATGGTACACTCAATTGGGTAAACTGGGACCGATTAATTTTGATTTCGAACAGGAAATTCCACAAATTTTCTCAAAGCAGGCAAACATTGTACAATCTTACGTAGAATTTAATCACGAAATCCTACTAATTCTTTTAGAACATGCAGAATCTTTTTACGTCCTCAATGTTTATTTTACAACTTGTATATTTTTTGATAGGCAGATGAATCCTTATTTTCCACGATATGGCTGACAGGATGCCGATTTTCGTTTCCAGAGATGCGAAGTGAGGTAGGAGAATGGCTGCCCACCTGCGTAGGTTCACCGATATGCATCCTGCTGCTATCGTGGTCCCTACTGATCTATCAGAACCAGCCTTCCTCCACGAAACGGAGGATCGACGTGTTCACAGTGGCCATTCTCTCCCAGAGTCTCGTGCACCAGCTTGGACTCCTTTTCTACGCGATCCTCACGCTGATCCGTCCGAGTAACCATTTCGGAGGTAACTGATCCATGAATCATCATATTCATCTATAATTAGCTTTTACCATTGAACCCTCAGCGCAGCAATCACTGTACCCTATTTATGGCTTCGTGTTGCTTAAGACACTAAGAATATTACTTTCTGGCAAGTGTCTGATGCTGCAACTATCTCAGATCAGAGGATACAGAAGATTAATACTAAAGTTAATCACGCCCATTCTTTAAGAATCCACTATTAACCAGTAGCTAAACTACTTTAAGTATACAAATTAATTCGTAGCCCTTACAATTAATTATTAACTCAAAACCGACTTCATTTTCTCGAGACAGTATTCGAGAAAAAATGTGTAAAAAGTAATGGACAATATTCTCAAGACTATACTGTATTTTGTTTTTTTTTGTAAATAAGCAATAAATCTTCAGTAACAAATCCTCAAACCCTTAAACATTTCAACAGTCAGTCAATTCAACGACCTTGACACACAGTACAAAGTTAGCTCCCAAGTCTTTTCGACCATCCTATATAATTAGTTTACCAGGCACTAGTTAACCAACAGAAAATTTATCGCCAATTTCCTCCAATTCACAGAGTTCTGCTCGACCCTAGTTTGGATACTGAACTCGTCCAGCATCCTGCAGGAGTTGACGCTGGCCTCGATCGCGATCTTCACGGCGATCAGCACCAGGGACTTACGTCTCACCAAGAGCCACCTGAAGTATCACCTGGTCAGCCTCAGCGTGATCAGTGCTTGCGTAGGTGTGACTGGAGTTCTCAATTTCGAGCCAGAGCATTGTGTCTTCCTGGCCCAGGAGATCTCTCTGAAATATGGAATCTTCGTCAACTCTCTGCGATCTCTTCTGATGCTGACCACCGTGATCAGCTTGTTGATCGCACTCGTCAGGAGTATCTGTCGTCAACCAACGGCTGAACTGTTGAAATCGGTGTCTGATCTCTCGGAGACCAGCTCGAAGAACTCATCCGGAGCGTTTGAATGTCATCCACATCATTGGGATCCTTCCAGTGGATCGTGCACCAGTGGATCTACCAATAGCAGGGCCTGCTTGAGGAAGAAAAAGGTCCAGGTAGACGAATCTAGTGGAATACCAACGATCTACAGTATCCTCTTCGTCTGCTACACCTTCCAGTACATACCCATTTTGGTGAGTCAATATTTTTTTTTTCATATGAAATTTATAAAATGTTTATGGCTAGAATACACAAGGGAACCTCGGTGACTGATACACGCCGATTTTGATGCAACTTTGCAGAAATGTTCATTAGACCAACCTGAGAACTTAGCCGTAATTCGTTGGTATTCCTTTTTTACTTTAAAGGAGGAATTAACCCTTTTATCCGCGACGGTCCTTCCATGTAAGTGCTTATAAATTTTAAACCTGGGGGAAGGCCATAGAACATATCAAACGCATACTTTGTTACCCCTGAGTTTTTACTTCGAACAAAAAACGAATTTACGAGGGTCTGAAGCATTACTCCGTATAAGATTATTGTCCCGTCACGGTTCGTGACGATAATCGAGACGAGTCTGTACTATAAACTCAAAAAGTATGAGAAAAAGTCGTGTCCTCCTGTTGTAGGTAGAAATTTCGGATCATTTTTCAAACTGTGAACACTGATCGAGTTACAGAAGGCAATTATGCGGAAAATTATTCGTCTCGAATCGATGTTCACTGAATGGTAATTGTTGCTCTAAGCAACAGATTTATCGTGTTCAGGAGACTGTAGATTTATTAAACGCTCTGTATCCGTTCGATTGAAGTCGATTCGCGAAACAGATTTGCTCCGGTCTGACTGTCTCGGCCGTATACACAAGACTGGAGTTTCGTAATAATCCACGAAATTGCGAGGGAGCAGCGAGCCGTGACAATGTTACACGGCTCGAAATCGAAGTGAATCTAACTCGCTTCTGATCTATCATTTACGGACGATTAAAACTGCTCGATTACAGGCAGGCACACCGACTCTGTAATCCGGCCGCGTGTGGCTGGCTGTCGGGTATAATCCGTTCATTAAATTAACTCGATAAATTGGCGTCCAATTACGGATCGTTGTTTCCTAATGTGAATATTTATCGACGCCTTAAACGGGCAACGATTGTACGCAACTCTATCCTTCTATTGTTTCGAGATAATGAAACTCTATAGATATTTATATTTTATTGTTGAATAATATACGTTGTTATTTGTTTTTCTTATTTTAGTGTTAACACGCGAAAGAAACTAATGTAATCTGATGTTTCGTAAGTGTTTCGTTTACCTTTGTTCTTAAGTTGGAGGAACAAAAAAGGCAATGGTGGATGAACACATACCTAGTGAAACATTATACAAGGTGAAACCAAAAAAGGATTCATAACTTCTGGGGTAAATAGTACTCGCGAAATAATAAAAAAAAGGTCCTGATAAACATGGGTCGAGAAATTAATATTCTCAATTTTATAAATAATTTTTTGTTTCGGTTGAGGCGTTCATTCACTGGTGAAATCCATATTTTTGCTTTTTCCAATTTTTCAAGTCGCAATTTTTACGCTCTAGAAATCTATAGATACGTAAAAAAAATCTAATTTTCGTGCAAGAAATATTCGAATAATTATCGAAAGAATTAAGACCTACTGTTTTTCGTCAGATTCACAAGATTAGCTCAGAAATAGTGTAGTGAATTTTAACCACGACCAAGTTATCGAAATAACCACACAATGGTCGATTGAAGAACAGGTGTACACGAAACGATCGCCTGAAACGGATCATAAAAGGGGTTCCCCCGTGAACCGGAAGCCGTCTCGGGTCTCTGTCATCCGGAAGTTGACGAGCCACCGGTTATATTCTCTTCTGTTGTTTTTTTTTTTTGTTCTGTTCCGCACCTCCTCCTCGATCATCGATCATTTTTTCACCTTAATACACGGACACGCGTAACACTTGATTGAATTTTACGATCGATAAATATTTATAGCGCGACGTTGTCCCGTGCTCGAAGAGAAACAGGAAAAAGGAGGCGGGAGAGCACACACCGCGTCGAAAATGTATTCGAAAGTGCCCCGTGGCTTAATACGGGCGACGACCTCGATGTCAGACTCGATTAAGATTCGTTAAATGGCTCCACGGGAGAAACTCCCCTGACCTTACTCGTTAATATTTATATTCGACCGTGTGACGCGTTCCGTTTGCGATCACCTCCCAGTGACCGCCATTGGATAGGGTTGCGCTCTTGCGCGGGCGTCGATGTCTCCGCGGCTTGGGTCACTTATTCGCTTCGCGTTTCTGTAATCTTTATATTCATAACACTAGAACTACCGACGATAAACGCATATTTGCTTCGATCGATGGATAAACGTGGAAAACTTTTGAAAATTTCGAAATTTCAATTCAAACTCCGTTTTACTGTGAATATTCCTTAAAAATAGTATTTGATAGAGTTTTTTATTTGCAAATTTACTAGGTGAAATTTTATTAGTTTATTTTACTGTAAATGTTCGTTGAAAATAGATTTTGATAGAGTTTTTTACTTACACACCTACAATTCTTCTTTTTAACAGACGGTTTATTTCATTTTAACCCATTAAATTATGCAATCCGATAATTCATCGCGCTGTCCAAAGCGTTGTTCCATCGGAACGACCGATATAATCGCGTCGACGAGCCACGTCGAATCGATTCGACCTCGATTCAAGGGAAAACCGTGTGTATACACAGGCTTGAAAAATCGATCGAATTCTAGGCGATGTTCGAACGCGTGTAGCGTGACGCGCGTTCTCCGCCCGCGAACAATTAAAGCAAAGTGTAAAACGTTCACGAGGGCCTCGTTTCGAATTCAACGCGAGTTCACCGCGCTAGAATTGATCGGAGAAACTCGGTGTTACCGACAAACTTTGAGACAGAAGGGGGAAGGGGTTCGACGGAGACGGAGCGATTGGTGTTCGAAGGGGCGGGAGAAGAAGACGACGACGAAAAGAATTATGACGCGCCCCTCATTGTGTCGGACATCGCGAGCGAAACGGAACGATACCGCTTGTGCAGCATACCTATAGAATACGGTATAATAATGCTATATATGTGTATGTATATACAGAGTGTCTCAAAATATGTGTAAGTCCTTAAAAGGAACGATTCCTCGGGTGATTTGAAACAACTTTTTCCTTAGCGAAAAAGTTGTTCCAAATCGCCTTACGAGTGACCCATTTCAGGGACCTGCAACTTTTTAGTTACACCCTGTATATGTGTACGTTTTTATACATCGCGTGCCGAAAGTACGATTACCAGTGTTTATCGAGAGATTTGGAGCAGAAAATTCTTGCGAGAGAACGTTAATTGAGACTGAAAACCACAAAACGATCGAATCTTCGACAATCAAATTCGTGAAATTGGAACAATTATAGAATATTCTTGCTACATAGCGACTCTTCGTTAATCATAATTCATTTAATACAAGCTTGAACAATAAATAAGGGGAACAGCATTTATTTTATTATACACTGCGTAGCATAACTATAAAACCACCCTAAAATTTTCAATTCTATGTATTCCAGTTAAAATAAAAACGAACCAAGTATGCCGTGTCTGAAATCATGTTGAGAAATAATGTTTCTCCAGAAATAGATTACATTCCCCAGAAGAATTACTTCTAGTCCTATCTTGTTCTTTTCTTTAATTTTAACGTTAAATACAATTAAGTTTAATTCTATTACAACAAGTGCTTTCTATTATATGAATGTGAATTGGGCGAATGTACGCCTGTCTCAATAAACTATTATTATTATTATTATAGAAGAAAAATGTGGTTCGTTTTTATCTTAACCACAATGCATAAAGATTGAAAATTTTAGGGTGGTTTTATAGTAATATTACGCATTGTATTCGTCACACGTAAGTCCACTACAAATCCTTTGAATCTACCTTCCAGCAATCGACTTTCGAACAAATCCATGATCCATGAATCTCGGAACCGAGAGCCAGAAACCCATTCACGAATAGAAAAGACACGGTTCATATATCCGTCCCATCGGGAATACAAATTAGTTATTACATTTCTCTTTTCGCCGAGATCTCTCTCGTTCGCTCGCCGAGACTCGCCTCGTAACGTGGCCCCAGTTTTTTACACCGAAATTTTCACTCCTCCCTGTCCCAGTCGCGTCGGCTTTCTAAGAACTTCTTAATCGGCGAGACCAACTTTGCGCGCCGTGAGTGAAATTCGAAATTTTATTAGATCGCGAACGCTCAACGGTTTCCAGTGTGTTAGTGGAACGATATTTCGAGATTTCCCTTTCCTCGCGAGCTCGGCTCGCTTCTCGAGGCTTTCCTTGTGTACACGCACCGAACCGTCTCTGTTCGTTAATTATGGTACTGTTTAGTTTCGATTTCATATATAACGTTACGGCCATATTTCCATATTAGGTCTACCGGAGAGTTATGTCCATTTTTGGATTAAAAGAAGATAATACACTTTCAATGGGTTTATTAATATTTACTGAACAATATAATTTCCATCGTTACTAATGACCGTTTTGCAACGTGATTGTAATTAGTGAATTCCATAATAAATGTATTGAAAATGTATTATTTTCTTTTAATCCAAAAACGGACAGAACTTTCCGGTAATATACAGGGTGTCCCGTAACTGACGGTACAACGGGGTGATTCTACGTGAAAAAATTAGTCGAAAATATAAAATAACATTTTTTCATTCGAGTCTTAGTTTTCGAGAAAATCGACTTTAAATAACTGCTGGATACGCGTGCGATTTAATAGGGCTTGGATAACGCGTCTGTTCATTACATTCTGTTTCTACTTACTGCCGTAACGAATACAGGCATTACAAATGAATCGTCAAATTCGATTTTCTTGAAAACTAAGCCTCGAATAAAAAAATGTTATTTTATATTTTCGACTTATTTTTTCCTCTACCCAGTTGTACCATACGGGACACTCTGTATACTATATGTGTTACAATTAAAGCGTTAATTCAGTAAATGTATGCATTGTCTAGTAAATGAATAAGTTTACTAGAAATAGTATACATTTTTATATTCGGTTTATACTTCTACGTAAATGTAAGTGTATAAATTTTCTAAACTTCGCGCTTTTACTATGACATATACACACACATTACGAACAGCCGCGATTCTTGAACCGCTTGCGCGTAACACGTTTTCCACGTAACTCTCCGTGTGGAAGCGCATTTCGCAGGTGATTCCTGTGTAACGATTTCCTTAGCAACCCTTTTTCACGGCGATCGTGTCATTAACTTTTACGTAAGCCCCGGGAACACAAATCTGGACTTTCATAGTTGCATAACTGTTGTTTCCTTTTTTCTCCTGTTCTCTATTTTTTTGTTGTAATTTCTCCCTCTCGTTTGGATCGACAAGCATTTCTTGTCATTAAGAAAATCCAAAAGTCACATTAACCCTTTCTCTTACGATTTTCCTGACGAATTACTTTGTCGTTAATAATTTCCCAGATACGAAAGGGATTTTATTCTTTTGACAGGTGTAACATTTACTCTGAATCTTAAATGTTAATACCTGCGAAACAGTATTTCACTTCGACCTAATGAAAACGAATTATATGAATGTCTATTGAGTGCAATTTAAAATTTTTAAATCGTCATCACGTGTCTGACTCGATGTTGTAATGCAAGGGGTTAACGTGTAAATTGAGATTTTGTCGTCTTATAGTTTATTAAGAAATTTAAGGAATATTAGTGAACTTGTGTATTGTAATTTCTGCTGAATAGTAAGTATAAATTCTTCCAGTGTAGAATGTAGCAAGATCACTAATCCTTAATTTACCTGCATGAGTCATCTTCAAGGCAAGGTGTTTACATAAAACGTGTTTTCAAAGCGCATCAAACATCACAATAAATCATTTCGCTAAGCATTCCTTCCCGTTCACCAAAGGGGGCACCGCAAAGAAATAACGCTGGTAAAAAATCTCATCTTGCTCAACCCTTTCGCTGCGTAAGATTCCAACGAGAACCGTGCATATATTCTAGGTAATGCGCGTTAATTAACATTTTTTTCATCATTCAGCGAGTACTGTCCACTCAAAACGTTATGACCCCTTTTTCTGTATCACCCTATATACCTTCCTACTTCAACCAAAAAGGAAATACAATTTCGTATTCACCGATCCGATACCACCGTACCTACTCAAAGTGAAACTCTCGTTTTCCAAATTGCGTTGTTCGTGATTCTCGGTCTAATTTATCAGATTTATTAAACGGTTTGCGTGTCGACACCTATGAATCATTATTCTCCCAATAATGCAATTAAAAACCAACTGTTCCGAACAGGGACCACGACACTAACGATTCTTCGCATCCATTCGTGCGTTCTCCAGGTACCAGCAAAGGCAACGACGGCGACGCGTTCGCCTGGAGAACGGAAAAAAGGTCGCGACGCGGGCGAGCGCGGCGCTTTTGAAAGCGCGACCGCTGTCGAGTTTTCACTCGTGGAAATTCTTCACCCTCCCCTTCTTACTGCTCGTTAAAATCGAAAGTAACACGCGCCCAGCCACGTAAGACTCTTCCAAGGGAAGGGGAATTTCGACGTTTCCCTCGTTCGCCAATTGTGGTAATTTCCTTCTCGCCGCGTGTCGGTTCCACGTGTGTTGTTCTCGTTATACAGGGTGTCACATTTAACCTACAACTATAATAAATCTAATAATTCTTACATCTTTTGATGCCTGTCGCTCGTTTCTGTATCAACAAATTTCAATGAAAGTTTCAAACATATATCTTCGAAATGTATTTATTAAATTCTCACTATACCCTCAGATTAAAAAGTTGTAAAAAGCAACCTTTACTATTTCCTTGGCGATTCCGACCAATTGCAACATTTTCAAATGTTTTTTACACGTCACTTAGTAAATTAATATTCCTAAATTTAGAAAAAAAAAAAACAAATCACTTGGACTAATTTAAAAAAAAAATTGTTCTGTTTAAAAGGGTGTGCGAATACATTTGTCCACTGTATGTATGTTAACGGGGCCCCGCGAAATTATAGACGTGCACGCGTCGGTTGTTTATCGACGCGTCCAGGGCAGACGAGCCGAACAACAATTAGCCGCATGCGATCCCGCTGGCTGGCTGCATTCCGACGCTTTTTCGCCCCCCTAGGGAAAGCGTTCCCCATTCTCGCTCGACCCACGATTTCTTCGCGATTATTATCGTGGGAAATAATAGGTAAATGGAGAACAGTAACGATGAATGTATATTTAATTGCAGGATAACCCGTGTAATGGTTAACTGTTTCGACGATTCTTCACGAATGACGTGAAAAACAAAACGTTTGATTTGATTATCATTTGGATAATCAAGGAAACATTCTCCGTACATTGCATAGAAGAATACGTACACAATCCACTCCCACGTTATCGACAGAATGGCAGGATAATTGGTCCTTGAGGATACCCTTTATGGATCGCCTGGGAGTTCAAGGACTGTTTCGATTGAATTTTCTCGGGACAGTTCGTTTTACACTTTTCTGACTAGTATTATGGTACTGTAAGGTGAGGTAACAATGAATTACAAAGGACCCTAAGCAGGTGTCCAAGATTTAACGTGTAACAGATAGATATAGAAAAATATTGAATTCTTTTGAATTTTAGTGGGTGTAAAATTTGTTTGTCATAAAGCACCTAATATGGAATTCTAATTTTTTGAAGGGTTTTCTAAGTGTAATCTACCATGTTGAATTGTTCTTCTCCACAAAAAATATTTGTTTGAGATATACTTATTATAAAAGTAATACTTATTCTGTATGGTGATCAAGAATTAAACGACACATACTCTTTTATCATTTTCAATTTTGCAGGTCTTTTGCAGGTATTTTTGGGTGAAATACCTTTCCACATAAAAATTGACTTAATGTAACAATTTGTGGAGCTGCAAAATCGAAAACGATCATTTTCTGACTTGGGACAAAGTTACCCCTGACTGATTTTAAGTCAAAGTTATCAGAACTTTGGCACTCTCCCTCTCTCTATAAGCACGATTCATCTCGATCCTGTTGAGGGATCATTACCTTCGTGTATGGGACTGTCGTAGTACTGTCAAGGAATCTAACTATATGTATAGGAAAAGTTAGAGAAAATGAAGAGAACTGTTATATTTCGAACAATAGATGGTGAACAGTAGTTGCCTTTGCACACACCTAACGAAGGCTTCAAAGACTGTAATAGCATCTTCATTTTGTATAAACAGGATTAACTAACAATAGGCGGGCCTTGCTGGAATCTAACTATATGTATAGGAAAAGTTAGAGAAAATGAAGAGAACTGTTATATTTCGAACAACAGATGGTGAACAGTAGTTGCCTTTGCATACACCTAACGGAGCCTTCAAAGACTGTAATAGTATCTTCATTTTGTATAGATGTGGTCTATGAACCTCCATAGAATCAGTTAAACAGGATTAACTAACAATAGGCGGGCCTTCCTTGGTCGTATCTCGTCACTTTCTCTGAAAAGTGACAAGAAATGACATCGTTTACGATGATTGGACAGTTTCTCTTCTAACGTGGATAATGGACGAGAAGCTTTTAGGATTCAGCTGAATAACATTTTCAGACAAGCGTACCCGTCGACTTGATATTGAAATAAAGCGGTGCCTCGAAGCTTTCGTTCCGATAATGTTTCATCCATCCCTCGCTGGTATTATGTCGAAATGGGGGAAGTCGACGAGATTGGGACATATAGGGGACGTAAGGGATATGAAAATATAAAAAGAAAGATGTGACATGAATACCATCAGCTTTCTGGTTGCTGGAAAAGCGATAAAAAATTCGTCCAATAAGTTCTCTTCTTCTGTTAACATAAGAGCTACAAACGAGATTATGGAAAGTGTATTATCTGTTAACACGTTGACTGCCAACTACGATATAACTCGTATTTGAAACATTGCAAAGAGACTGCATTATTTAAATACCATGACAATACTTTTCTGTAAAATTAATATCACAGTATAATTTAAAACAAGACAACCTACCTCTGTTGACTAAACGCATACATTTTCGACTATTTATGACTTAAAAAACAAAATAAAGTGTGTCTGGCTACCAACGACCTTTTTCACTGTGGCAGTCAACGTGTTAATATCTTCTGTAATATTAACAGAACCAGATTTAACCCTCACCCATCCGTCGGTGTCAATTTAACACATTTTTCTACTAAGAAAATTCTATCGTGTGTAATTTATTTTTATACCCAATATTTCCACTTTTCTTTACATCCAATAATAACAGAGAACATTTTCTATATTCCAGGTGATATCGATAAAGCCAGGTCTCCTCACCGACTTCTGCACCCCCCAAAACCTAGCCACCTGGTTGCCGCTGGTGAAGGACACCCTGCTACCAGTATTCCTGGCGTTGTTCGATAAAATGTTCTGTCGCTACGTGGCCAAGGTTTACACGAAGCAGGATCACGCGAGAAGATTGTCTCATGGTGAGCGTGCACGCCTCGGTAGACGTAAATTAAATATCATTTTCCACGGTTACCACTCGACTATGTTCCTTTCTCCTCGATATTTAAACGTTCGCCACGCGGCTAAAGGATCCAGGCTGCTCCAACACAAAAATGCCTTTTCGAAGAAGAACAGAATTCCCTTGTCCTGCTGGTATTTTCCACATGACAATCAACATCGATTTGTTCTATAAAAAAATCCACAAATGTGACCTCCCAGTGGTGGTGCACGCGTGGGAACCTTTGGGTCGAGAGATGCATCGACGACGACACGTGAATCGTCAAGGAGAAATATCAGTTATGCGACAGACCGTGATTTTGCAATCGCTGTAACCGCCGTAGCTAATGCCCCTTTTACTCTTACGATTTTATTTCTTTCCTTTTGCAACCATACACACGTAGGCATATCAAAATTACCTACACATAACAGAATAACGTAATTTCTTAAGAGAAAACTGTGTCAAATTGACAGAAGGGACGGATATGGGTTAATAATTTATCTTAATAACTTTTTGATATCCCCACGTAATTCACGAGTAGCCCCATAAACGGTCGTAACAACTCGATTAATGGAATTTCTGAAGGAACATCGATCGTAACTCTAATTCACACCGTCTGATCCCGTAGTTTATCGTTCACCATTGCAGACTCGCCACGCGAGCGTGTTTTTGCGCAAACACGAGAAATTGCCCGGTTTCGGACGATTTCACGGAAGAATTTCTGTTCACCGCTTCCGTTTTCCAGGCGGCATAGACGGCAAGTTTCGTCACTTCGAGCAGGACGCCGAGTACAAGCTCCAGCTGAACCTGAATCACGGCCTCAAGTTCCCCTTGACTAACGGAAGCCTCTACGGACGATTGCACAATCATCAGAACAGAGGTGAGTGGACCATTTCCTTGCACCGTTTTCCTCGATACACAGTGCGAACAGAGAAACATTTTCATACGGTGATTTAATCCTTCGAATTCGTCTATTCCATCGGTAATTCGTCTCTTTACTTTGTTCTTAATTGTTCTATCTCCACTGGTTTCTAAACCGAGAAAACTGAGTTTAAAGTTTACGAAGTTTAATGTTATAGAAACAGAAAAGTAGTGAAATAATCAAATGCACAATAATATCATCTACTGAATAGGTATTTAGTATAATATTTAACAAAATTTTAAATTGAATAAATTTAACAAATTATCGAATCATTCAGTTTATCATTTACTGTTCAACTCTTTTTCTAATTGTGGGATCAAATTTCACATATTACTATTAAAAACTCAAGGTGACCATATATCGACTATGTACCCCCTTTGATACAATACAACTTTTGTTCGAAACATTTTCTCGTGTAAGAAACAGTTTACAAGTAATTTAGGTGACAGCGTTAAGTGAATCAATCTCCTATACACATGTATACCTCGATCAGCGAGTCTGAATGGGCGAACACGTTTCGAATTGTTGATCGCGAGACTCACGCGACCCTCTTAACACGCGCCAGGAATTTCATTCGACGATAATCTACCGATCGAGGAGACGGTTGTGGAGGGAGTTCGTTTCCTTTGGCTCGATCTCGGAACACCTTAAATTACCAGCAACTGTTGAAGTGGAAAATCGATGTTCCTGGTCACGTACCCGTCGTATCCACGATCGGGGACCCATTACATCCCCCTGAAAATAACATCCTGCTCTCGTACCCTCGTTTACCGATAAGTACTTCGAACGTGTCAATGTAAACGTCAGAAATAACATGGCCCATCGGTAGAAACTGTCTAATCCAAAGACCTTCTCTATTTATGTGTAAAAATTGCACTACAGATTTTTAAGGAAATTCAGAGTTTCGTAATTAAATTTAGAGGAACTAAAAGTGAAGTAGAATCTACTTTCCCGTATAAGAAAAGGTGTACAAGTGAAATTAGTCTGATAAGTCGACACACCTTCGAGTTCCTGCTAACCAGACATTCGTTCGCAGGAAAGACCGGTACGATAACAATGGGCATTCAACACTATCCCAGAGCCCATTCGCTCAACGAGGACAGTAATTACGCTTCCCTTCCAGCGGAGCTTTCTTCCTTCACGAGCTCGACGTTCGAGCCCCGCAAGGAGTCGAATCCTGTCGAGCCACCGAAGAAAAGCACCATCGAACAACAAAACAAACGTCCAAGACCAAACGAAAGCTTCCGTGAGTTGACCGGTAATCGCAGGAAGATCGGTAGCACGGACGTATTCGGGCAGAATATGGAGAATCTGGTCCAATTGGAGGATCCATGCGTGAAACGGAAGTTCGCCAAGAGTCTGGACGAGATACGGGAGGAACCACCGAGGAGACACGCGAGGAGCGTACTTGGATTGGAGAACTTGATCACAGGATTGGATAACAATCTTCAGCTACAGCCACGGTACCCTAGAGTCGCTCTCAGGAGGAACCAGAGCTTCGATCATGCTAGATGCCAATCGTGAGTACAATCTATAATTATTTTTTAATGGAATTAAAATATTTATGGAGTCTTGTGAATAGTGGAAAATACTAAGACAGGTGATTGTAAAAATGAGAGGAAGGATTGATCTAGAATCCTAGATTGTCTCCTAAATCAAAACCACATTTACATTAAGAGAATCTACCACGTTTTCAGGTACCATCGACCAATCCTCGACTCGAGGACGTACGACTTGAAGAAGCTGGATCAAAGGAAGGAGCAACCGAACGTCCAGAGGCAGGAGGTCCAGAGCGAGGGGGACGGTTACGAGACCTCTGACGACGAGAGCTGCGACCTCGAGAACGGGGACTTCGACACGATGAGCTCCTGCAGGAGCCGGAGCAGAAGCTGTTGCTCCGTCACCACCGTGGCGAACGATGATTTCGAATTTTTCCAACGTAAGGGAACCAAGGTAACATTACATACTTCTCTCCGTTTTACCAATCTTGTTAACGAATCTTCAAGGAGGAAACAATACCTTAAAGAGTTTGATATTATGTCGTCCAAACTACCAATGACGTACCGTAAGTTGGGGTAACTTTGCTTAATAGTCAGGATAACTTTGTCCCGAGTTAGGAAATAATCATTTTCGATTCTGCAGCTCTACAAATTGTTAAACTAAGTTGTTATTTATATGAAACAGTATTTGTACCTGCAAAAGAGCTGCAAAATCGAAAATGATAATGTTCTGACTTCGGGGCAAAGTTACCCCTGGCTGTAAGTCAAAGGTACCCTACTTTACAATAAAAAATTAATAACAATCAAAATGTGAGAGACATGTGTATAATGTCCCCGCCAAATAATTGCCACGACACGGATAGATCCTTTGTTCACTGAAACTAGGATTCAAGTTTAAAAGAAAAATCGAAAATGATCATTTTCTGATCATATCCTAACACGGATAGATCCTCCGATCGCTCAAACTAGGGTTCAAGTTTAAAAGCCATCATCCACAGATCTCCAGTCAAGTTTCCTCTCTCCAATCATACCCCTGTTACTCTCTAAGCCACACCCTATCACTTTTCACATGTTCGTCTCACCTAACCAGAGCTTCGATCATCTCCACCTAACCGCTAGGTTTCTCCAGAAACCCGCGAAAATACCATAGAAATTGGTCCCCCCTCGCGATAGACAGCACTTCACTGGCCTTTCGTCGGTTGCGTAACGTTGGAGATCGTGAGAACGCGTCCTGTTTCGCAGGTGGAGCTGTTGCCCTCGAAGCGAGCCGGCGAGGTAAAGGTCAACATGCGATCTTTCACGCCGCGGATCATCGAGAACGGGCCGGAGGACAACGAGAGGCGATGCAAGCTGTCGGACACGAAGCCAAGCATACAATCGTATCGGTTGAAACGGAAACGGATGAGCCCTGGCTACTCGATGAACGACCTGGACAAGCTGACCGCGGACAGGCGGCTTCCAGATCTGTCGATCGAGAGCCTGAAGAGCATCCTGACGAACTCGGATGTCAGCTACCTGGATAACGGGGACATATGCAGGCACGACATCGGCGGTTCAGCGCCTGATTTCAAGAAGATCTTCGTCACGGAATTTATATGAGATCCGAAGGACTGAACACATACTTGTCAAGAGGAAAAAGAAAGTTAGAAGAGAAGGTGGACTAATGGATCTTGCGTGACAGGGATCATTAAATGGCTGAAGAACAGAAGAACAATGACACCAGGCTCTAGGCATTTAATCTTGGC